AGTAAACGGGACACGTGCTTGGGGGGTGGAACTAAGACCGGATGGCAAAGGAGTCCACCTGAGTCTAGGAGAAGAGAGGCCGCCCAGAGATCAGCAGTTGGCAGGAAAAAGAACCAAGAAACAGAAGTGCACGCGTAAGTCCTACGTAAGCAGTATTCGTGAATTTGGACAACGCAGTTGAGACCCCTCCCCTACTCAGGCCCGAATCCTAATCATAGCTCTGGAAGACCCAATGATCTCACATTACAAATATAAACCACTCCTTTAAAGCCCTCGGCACCTGGAGGAAGCTGTCCGCTGGTAGCTTACCGCGGCTGGCAGAAGCAGGAAGTTGACCGGGCCTTGGGAAGGGTCCAGAGACACTTCCGGGCTACTCTAGGATAGCGTGATAGAGCACCTCTATGGTTCCCGGAGCCGCGCACGCGCAGAAGGGCAGCAGAACTCTGGAGTTGTCTTCTGAGGCTTGGTTTTTGGAAAGAGGAAGACAAAGTTATTCAGTTTCCGGGATCAGACTCAGAGCTGTACCTGTCCTGCGCATTGGCGGTGCAGTATGAGGGGCACACTCTAGAATTGTTGTAGTTGATGCTACCGAATTGCATATTTTAAAATACTTGGATGGACTAGGCGGCGACTCACGTCTTTATAACCAGCGCTCCGGCTGGGCATGGTGGAGCAGGCCTTTAATTCCGCACTTGAGAGACCTAGGCTGGTGGATGACTGAGTTCAAAGCCAGGACTACAAAGTTCCAGGACAGCCAGGATTGTTGCACAGAGGAGCCAAAAGAAAAGAAAAAAAAATCCAAAAATCAAAAATAACAAAAGCAGCACTCGTGAGGTACAAGTAGGCAGATCTGTGTGTAGGCCAGCCTGGTTTAGATACTCAGTTTCCGGGCAGCCAAGGCCACAAAGTGAGACCCTGATTTAAAAACAAAACACCTAGAAATTCTAGCAAATTTTGAAAAAATCTGACACAAATTTTGCCATATTTTCTTTTGAGTGACCTGAAGACCCCCTTTGCCTGTTTTATCTCTTTGTTATTTTCTAAGATTTATTTTTTATTTTATGTGTGTGGATGTCTTGCCTGTATGTCTGTGTAACACTATGTGCCTGGTGCCTATGAAGATCAAAAGAGGGCATTAGATGCTCTGGATCTAAGGTTACAGACAGTTGTGAGCTGCCTTATAGGTGCTGGGAATCAAACCCCTGGGTCTTCTGGAAGAGCAGCTAGTGCTCTAAGCCATCTCCAATCCCTCATTCATTCATTTTTAATTTTGTATGTATGTAGTTTTTCCTGAATACTTGTATGTGCTTGACATACGCACCTGATCAGAGGCCAGAAAAGGGTATTGGACTGAAACCAGGGACAATTGTAAGCTGCTTCATTCCCTCTTGATTGTTTCAACACTTTATTTACAAACCCGATTTACAAACGAAAGTGACTTCAATTTTCCAGAGCTTCTACCACAAAGATTCTATCCATCATGGGGCTCAGCAAAGTCATTGAAGCCCACCTCATCCCAAGCCCCAAATCAACCCTCCTTTTTTTTCTTTTTTGAGATAGGGTCTCACTATGTACTCCTAGCTAACCTAGGATATGTAGACCAGGTCTGCCTCAAACTCATGGAGAACGACCTCCCAAGTACTGGGATAAAGGCTTACACAGCAACCCCTTTTTGAACTCTACTGTGACATGTGATGTGAACGAGATGTCCCCTGTATTCTCAGGCATTTAAATACTTGGTCCTCAGTTGGTGATGCTGCTGAAGAAAGCTTAGGAGGTACAACTTGTTGGAGAAAGTACATCAGCAGAGGTGATCTCTGAGAGTCTAAAGACTCTTGCCAGCTGGGTACGGTGGCCCATATTTCTAATCTTAGCTCTCAGGAGATAAAGAAGAAGTATCTCTGAGTTTGTGGTCAACCTAGTCTACATAGTGAGTTCTATAGAAGCCAAGGCTATATAAAGAGACCGTCTTAAAACAAAACAAAAAAATAATTGAATTAAAAATAAAGATGTGGGACTGGAGAGATGGCTCAGTGGTTAAGAACACTGACTGCTCTTCTAGAGGATCCAGGTTCAATTCCCAGCACCCACATGGCAGCTCACAATGGTCTGTAATTCCAAGATCTGGAATACATTCAGGCAAAACACTAATGCACATAAAATAAGAATAAAAGTTATAAAAATATTTTGAAAAATATAAGGATGCTTGCCATTTAGAGTTTACTCTCTCTGCTTCCTTTTGTGGTTTGAGGCATAAGCCCTCAGACTTCAGCTTCCAGCTCCAGGTGTCATGCCTGCCTGCTGCCCTGCTGCCCCACCTTGATGATGATTGACTTATCCCTTTGGAGTCATAAACCCATCCTTTTATAAGCTGTCTTGAACATGATGCTTTATCACAGTAACAGGACGGTAACAGATGCAGAAGCTGGGGCAAGGGAGTCGTCTATTACTGTGAAGGGCTGATCATGCAATTTTTGAAGGAATTTGGAAGGTTTTGGGACTTTTTGAGCTAGAAAACTGGTTACATTGTTGTGTAGAACAGTGAATTTTTAAAAAAGATTGATTTATGTGTATGAGTGCTCCATCTTCATGTGTCCCTGCACATCAGAGGAGGGCATCAGATCCCATTAGAGATGGTTATGAGCCACTATGTGGTTGACTAGGATTTGAACTCAGGACCTCTGGAAGAGCAGTCAGTGCTCTTAACTGTTGAGCCATCTCTCCAGCCCAAATGTTTTAATTGTTGTGCTGTCCAAATCTACTGGGAGAAACCAAGACTTAGTTTCAATTTAAATTTAAATTAAATGAATTTATCCTTTGTTTTTCTGAAAAAAAAAAAAAACAGTTTTCTGAAAACTACACAGTTTTTCTGTGTAGTCCTGGTTGTCTTAGAACTCGCTCTGTAGATCAGGCTGGCATTGAACTTACAGAGATTTACTTATCTCTGCCTCCCAAGTGCTGGGGTTAAAGCCATGTGCCACCACGGCAGCCTGCTCCATCTTCTGTTTTTTATAGTTAGCCCTCCTCCAAATCCAATTTGAGCAGCCAAGGTGCTTTACAAAACACAACCCTAGGGTAGAAGTGTGGCTCAAAGACTGGAATAAGGCCAGGCCCAGGGTTCCAATCCAAGCTCAAGCTCTGGGAAGAAAAACACTGAAGAAAACCAAAACAGCCCTGTAAGGTTCTCCCCGTGGCAGCCCATATTCTAGAATAAAATGCAAAATCCTAACTGGGCTTAAAAGTTTGTGGCCCATTCGCCACTCACCCTCTCATTCCTTGTACCCCAATTCCAGCATCAGATCTTCTGTCACCCTGTTCTGGGTCATGAGACAGTGTTCCACCGCCTGAGCCATTCCCCTCCTGACAGTGGCCTCAAAAGGTCTGTTAGGCAGGAGCAGAACTGAGGGACACACATCGGGAGAGCACAGCTGTGGTTTGTGGTTCCTTCCCTTGGTCCAGACTGTCCATTCCCTCCCCTGGCTGGTGAAGAACTGATAGGTGCTAGTGTGGTATGGCGCCTGCACCACAGGATAGTTTGTGAGTCCGGCAAGGGGCTGGAAATTAAAACACACACATACACACACACACAGAGAGAGAGAGAGAGAGAGAGAGAGAGAGAGAGAGGAACAAGAATGCCCCCTTTATTGTGTTCCAGGGCAGCTTATATAGGGCTCTCCTTGACTAATGGCCATGCCCTAACTCTTGGGATTTTCAGCTGCAAGCCCACCAGAAACCAACACCCTGCCATCAGGCACTCATGAGGGTCTCGTGCTCAGAGCAGCTGCAAGCACAGGGAAAACAAGTTGTTTACTCTGGCAGGCAAGGGGTCACAGGAAATTCAGGGTCTGCAGTCCCCAACAGTGTAGGTCTGCTGTTTGTGATTGAGGGAAAGGACACATATGGTGCTTTCTTATCAATCCTCTACCAGGGGTGTTAATGTACACATCTGCACATTAGTTCTTATGACTACCCTACAGCAGAACATTTCAGATAACTAGCTCGGATTTTAGAATGGGAGATATTCTGGGTCATATAGCAAGCTCCTGAATCCCAACATGACTTCAAGCCCTTGTCAAGTGGTCATGATACTTCTACATTGGTATTTACATTTCTGCATTGGTATATTGCCTGCATGTCTGTGTGAGCGTGTCAGATCCCCTGGAGGTGGAGTTACCAGCAATTGTGAGCTTCCATGTGGGTGCTGGGTAATGAACCCAGGTTCTCTGTGAAAACAGCCTGCGCTCTTAACCACTGGGTCATCTCTCCAGCTCCTGGCCATGGTATTTTTTTTTTTTGATTTTTGAGACAGGGTTTTCTGTAGTTTTGGTGCCTGTCCTGAAACTAGCTCTTGTAGACCAGGCTGGCCTCGAACTCACAGAGATCTGCCGGCCTCTGCCTCCCGAGTGCTGGGATTAAAGGCGTACACCACCACCGCCCAGCACCATGGTATTTCTAAACCTAGCATTGGTGTATCCCTAATGCTGACTTTTCATCCCCACATAAAAAGCATTCGGGAACCATACCTGCCTCTCAAAATAAGGGGGATGGGGTCCTGAGTGGCTGTGGTGGGGGACCGATTTTAAGAGGCATCAATTGGGGGTAAGGTTGTAAGTCAGTGGTAGAGCACTTGAATAGCACACTTCAGCCCTCAGTTAGTACCTCAGAAAGGAAACCGAAAAGGAGTAAGGTGAAGCAGAAATGAATTCTAGCATCTTTGCTTTTGGCTCCCTTTTCATTGAGTTACAGGATTATTTCCTTATTGAAGCCATGTTAAGTAACTAGTCCAGAGGGAAAACATTTAGGGCCACTTCTTATGTAAACGCGGGGTCTCGATGACTGCTTGCCTCTGCCTGAGTACCAGGATGACAAGTATGTACCAGCAGACCTGGATTTGGTGGCTTCACTTAAGCTGCTTCTTACAAGAGCTTCCAAATCTTTCCTGACATCGATTTCTCATCTGTAGGACAGAGATCTCCTCTGAGTTTAAAACACAGCTTCACTTTGAGTGTGACACACACTTTATTTAATGGGTGAATGCCAAACATTCCAGAAACAAAACACTATTTTCATAAGTAGAATATTCTTTGAGAACAAATCTTAATCTCCCCCAGCAGTCTCAAGTTTCTGATAGCATAAATTACTCAAATAAAATAAGGCTTCAGGTTTATTCAGTTACATATTTATAGTGTGGCGGTCTGAATGAGAACGGCCCTATAGGCTCACATGTGTGAACACTTGGCCCTCAGTTGGTGGAACTGTTTGGGAATTATTAGGAAGTGTGGTCTTGAAGGAGGTGTGTCACTGGGGGTGAGCTTTGAGGTTTCAAAAGACTCTCTGTTCCCAGTTAGTCCTCTCTGCTTAGTAACTGTCTCAAGATGTGAGCTCTCAGCTACTGCTCCAACACCACGCCTACCTGCTTGTCTGCTGCCCTGCCCCACCAGGATGGCCATGAATGCTCCCTGGAACTGTAAGCCCCAAATAAACTTTTTAAAGTTTATACCTTGGCTGTAGTGTCATCACGGCAATAGAGAAGTAACCAAGACATTTAGGTGAATGATTTATCCCATGTGAATCTTTTGGTGCTGAGTGAGCCTGGAGCTCCGATTAAAAGCTTTGCCACAAGTATTACATGTGTAAGGCTTCTCTCCTGTGTGGATCCTCTGGTGTATAATCAGGTGTGAGCGCCACCTGAAAATCTTGTCACAGTCGTCACACTGGTGCAATTTCTTTACAGTGTTCACTTTTTTAGAATTCAAAACGGTGCTACTTTCAACCGTGTTTCCAAATTCATAGTGCCACTGGGCTCGAGTGTGGATCCTCTGGTGTTCAATGAGGTATGAGCTCCGGCTGAAGGCCTTTCCACACTCACTGCACTCATAGGGCTTCACTCCAGCATGGATTATCTGGTGTTGGAAAAGGGTTGAATTTTGACTGAAGGCTTTTCCACACTCGTTACACTTATAGGGTCTCTCCCCGGTGTGAACCCTCTGGTGGATGGTGAGCTGCGTGCTCATACTAAAGGCTTTCCCACACTGCGTGCATTCATACGGCTTCTCTCCCTTATGGATCCTCTGGTGATAAATGAGACTGGAGCTCTGGCTGAAGGCCTTTCCGCAGTCATCGCACACGTAAGGCTTCTCCCCAGTGTGGATTCGCTGGTGCTGAATAAGATGGGAGCCCTGGACAAAGCCCTTCCCACAGTCGTCACATTTAAACGGTTTTTCTCCCGTGTGAGTTCTCTGGTGGCGAATGAGCCGGGAGCTACAACCAAAGGCTTTGGTGCACCTGTTGCACTTGTAAGGTTTCTCTCCAGTGTGGATCAGTCGGTGCTGGCTCAGGCGAGAGACCCATCTGAAAGCTTTTCCACACTCCTCACACTTGAATGGCTTTTCTACAGTGTGATTTCCCTCATGGGCAATGAGACTTGAGTTCCCTGAAGTTCTTGGCATTTGAGATTTCTCCCCACTATGCATCCTCTGATGCTGGGCTAGAGTTGAGCTCTGGCTAAAGGCCTTGCCACACTCCTGACAGGGGTAGGGCCTCTCTCCAGTGTGAGTCCTTTGATGTCTGACCAGCTGTGATTGCTGGCTGAAGGCTTTCCCACACTCTTGACAACTATAGGGCCTCTCTCCTGTGTGGATTCTCTGATGATGGATGAGGCTTGAGCTCTGACCAAAGGTTTTCCCACATTCCTCACATCGGTAGGGCTTCTCTCCAGTGTGGATTCTTTGATGTTGAATCAGTTTTGAGCTCAAACGGAAAGCTTTCCCACAATCAACACACTTAAATGGTTTCTCTCCGGTGTGGATTCTTTGATGCTGATTGAGTTGTGAGCACAGCCTGAAGACTTTCCCACATTCCTTGCATTCATAAGGCTTCTTCCCAAGGCAGTTACTTGTGTGCGTCTCCTCTAAGCAGTCAACTAGGTTTTTTTGGCACTCTTGACATCTGTATGGTTTTTCCTGTCCACTCACTTCCAGATATGGATCCAGGTTCAGAGTTGGTTTAAAGACTCTACCACACTCTTCACAGTTTTCTGATGTCCCTTTCACACTGTCTCTCTGTTCGTCAGGCTGAGAACCCAGAACAGTGGCCTGTAGCTCCTTGCACTCCTGGACAGTGTCCTGGGGAGCCATAGTCTCATTACTGAGATGATGCTTCTGGAAAAGGGGGCCACCCACTCTTAGTCCAAGGCTATCTGAGCAATTCTCTGACAAGACCTTGGAATCCAAATTGTCTCCAAAGGCAGAAATCTGCTTTTCGGGAATGTTCATGTACTCACAGGTCTGCTTGTGATTGGTTCTAATAGTAGAATCTGAAATAAGCACAAAGTAAAAATGGTCTTGACATCTGAGCTCAGAGAAAAGGCAAAGATGACCAGTGGCTTGTGGGAGTGCCAGCACTTCAACACACCCCAGTGGGAAGTGTGGCAAGGAGATAGGAGGGGAAATGCTCACAATTTAGTTCACTGGACAGTGATGGCATACTCATGTCTACAAGGCAGAGGGCTGAGAGGTTCATGTCCTAAGAGGGTCTACAAGAAGGGTTTCACCCTATAGGGCACTGAGGAGGCAATATCTTAGAGTAAGCAAAACAGACTGGACAGAACAAGTGTGAGGACAGAATTCATCAGAGCAGGTCAGCGTCCTGCACATGTTAGCTGGCAAGTGAGGACAGTGGGGGTGTCTGACCAAAACATAGACAGGAATGTTGAGACCATGGCTGAAGAAGAGGTGGTATCTTAGCAGGAAGATCCCAGAGCAGAACTGGGTGCTCAGCCTATCCATGACTGGCTTCTAAGGTGGGCTTCTCTGAAAAGAACTGAAACTGCAAGCCCACATCTGGCACGCCTTGCTATAGGTGTGATGATTACTTTTTACTGTCATGTTGGTACAATCTTGGACTACCTGGAAAGAGGGAACCTCAACTAGAAACTGCCCAGGCCAGTGCCTGTGGCCATCCTTGTCTTTATTGATGATCTATTATGGAAAGACCTAGGCAGTTTTATCCAGACTGCATAAGAAAGTGGGCTGAACACATGGAGTGTAGGATGGCACAGTGTTCCTCCATTGTTTGGGCTTCAGCTTCTGCCCTGACCATGACCTGGAAATGTAAACCACAATGCACCTTCCCTTCCGGAGTTGACTGGTTAGGATGTTTGATCATGTGACAAAATAGATGTGAACACTGAGCCACTGCCTGAGTGACCATACCCGGTAGTTCACACTGATTTTTTTTCCCTGGGTCAAGTGTCAGGGTCTGAGCACCTAGACCAAGAGGCCTTCATGATATCTACTTTCCTTCTAGACTCTCCAAATCCACACAGGCTGCCTGCCTTTCTGTCCTGACCCCATAGGCCAGATTTCTCTATGACCATTAATTACAAGACACATAGTAGTTAAATGGACAAGTGTTTTGTGCCCCCTGCCTTTCTGCCTTCCCAGAAGTGGCCACACACACCTAGGTGTGGTTGTTTCTAGGGTTGGTCCTCTGCAGTGTTCTTTAGTAGCCCAGCCTGGTCACCAGGACTCACCCCAGCTCCTACTTATTCAGACCTTCTGTAATAGGGCCTGGGCCTCACCTGTCTGGCAAATCCATGGTGCCTCTGTCCCCTCTGCTCCCTGTAGGTCAAGGACCCATGGCTCTTGTCCTTGCTCCAGTCGAGAGATCAGTTCAGGCTTAAAGACCAGGAATCCTGCTGTGTGTGAGGCAGAGAAGGAGAGGATAGAAACATGGCCAGGAGTCAGTCCTGCTCCTCATTCTCAGTCATGAAGAACAGGAGCTGCTAGACTGTGCAGAACCTATCGGGAGGGTGATGAGGGATGAGGCTGGATACATTGCAGCCCCTTCTCTCTAGCTCCTTAGATTAGACAGGAAGGGGCACCCAGACTCCCACAGTCTTCAGAGAACACTGTCACTGAAGAAGAGGCCAGATCTACTTGGGGTACAAGGGGAGTAGGAAGCTTAAGCCCAAGACAGCACCACATTCTGCAAAGCCACGGCCTTTTCTTCCCCAAGTTCAAAAGACAAGGATACTCCAAGAGGTAGGGGTAGCCAAGAAAAAAAACTTAAAATTAGTAAGCAATTAAATAAATGAAGATTTCAAATCACAAGTAGTGGATCCAGACTCCTTTTATGGCCAGTTCATAGAAGTGGGGAAGGTGTTCATCCAATCAGGGATCCACAAAGCGGGTCTAGCCAGATGGCTCAACAGTGAAGAGTTCCTCTTCCAGGCCTTCTCCTAGCACCTACATAGCAGCTCTCAACTGTCTATAATTCCAGTTCTAGCAGGTTCACAGACATACATGCAGGCAAAACACCCATATATGTCAAAAAAAAGATAATAGAGTTTGGAGCTTCCCTCAGGCCTCCCACAACATGGAAAAAGAGGCAAAGGCATCTGCAAGATCCATCAGCCGTGTCTAACCTGCAGCCCACTGTCACACACGACAAAGACAGTGATGAATGTGGCCCAAGAAAAAGTCATGAACTTGACTGAAATGTGAAATGTCTTTTTGTTTTGTTTTGGTAACTCAACTGTAAGGTTCTTGAATGTCAACCTTGTGAAGGATATCATGTCACGATATCAAAACGTTAAACAAATGGTACAGTAATAGGTTCAAGTTTAAGTAAAGGCAGGGCCCCACGCTCATCAGAAAACAGACAGCATTTCTTAAAAAGAAAAGAAAGCTTCAAGGCCAGCCTGGTCTACAAGAGCTAGTTCCAGTACAGAAACCAAAAAAGCTACAGAGAAACCCTGTCACGGGTGGGGGCGGGGGGGGGGGGGAATCTGACCAAAGTTAACATGAGGAGAAAATATGCAAGTATTGATAGGTATATTTTTTCTATTTTTTCTTTTCTGAGACATGGTTTCTTTGTGTAGCCCCCACCTGCCTCTGCCTCCCGAGTGCTGGGATTAAAGGTGTGTGTCACCACCATTAGTCTCCTAGCAATCTGGTGGTAGAAAGGACAGGCTGCCAGTGTGCACGTGTGGGTGTGGCTAGAATCTCAGTTAACCAGTGCTGCAGCTGAACATTAGCATCATCACAGAGAGGCATGCAATGCATTTACCCTGCACTTTTCCAAACTCTCCTATGCTGGGTGCCATGATACACATACACTTATCATCTCAGCAACCACTCAGGAGGCGGAGGCAGAAGAACTGCTTACTTTAAGCCCAGGAGTTCTAGGCCAGACTGGGTAGCAGAGTGAGGTGGCCATCTCAAAAAGAAAAAAAAAAATTCAGTAACGTGAAGCTACTGTTGAAGCAGAAACTACGGGGAAAGAGCAACATTTACTTTGGAACTGGGTAGCTTGCCTAATGGAGCGCAGTTTGTCACAGGCACACTGTAGCTGTATGTGCAAAGGGTCTGAGGAAAGACAGAACACGCAGATGAGGCTGCTGGTCACTGAGTAACACACAAAAGAAAAGGTCACTATATACTAGGCAAGAAAGCTTAGGGACTGACCCCACAGAAGGCTAAACCCTAACGAAGGAAGAAAACCATCACCATTCCTGGCAGGCCAGGACCCCAGGGGAAGTAGATAGGGATGATCGAGCAAGTCCTGGCCACTGTACTCCATGTGTTCGCCTCTATCACAGTGACATGTGATAAGCAATCTGTGAATCTTAGACAGCACTTGCAAAGTGCCGAGTAAACTTAAATTGTGGGTGGTATAATCAGTAATATCCTTTGTTAAAATTCTGATATGTACATTCAATAATGCACTTTTTAACATGTCAACTTGGTTTCGGTGAAATCTAACACAAGATATACTGAACATCTAAACACCCACAGGTCAGTAAGGCACAACAATCCATTTTGCTGTTGTTGTTTTTTTTTGTTTGTTTGTTTTTTAAGGCAAAAGAGCTGCACAAGTACATGATTTCAGAACCTAACAGTAATAAGCAAGGATATGACAGAATGCCCAAACTCTCAAAAACTAGACAAACACAAAACCAACACAACCTTAAGTTGTTTTACTTTCTTTTCCTTTGTCTTGCTTAGTTTAGTTTAGTTTTGGTACTGTTTTCAAAACAGGGTTTCTGTGAGCCCCGACTATTCTGAACTTGTTCTGTAGACCAGGTTGACCTCAAACTCAGAGATCTGCCTGTCTCTGCCTTCCGAATATTGGGATTAAAGGGATACACCATCATGCCCAACCTGCTTTTTTTTTTTTCTAAGCTAGGGTTTATCTGTGTAACAGCCCTAACTCTCCTGAAACTAGCTCTTGTAGACCAGGCTGGCCTCAGACTCAAAGATTACCTGCCTCTGCCTCCCGAGTGCTGGGATTAAAGGTGTGCGCCACCACCGCCCGGCTTGTTTTGTTTTTCTTTTTGCTCTCTGTGGTATAGGGATTGACCCCAGAACAACTTTGTGTGCAACAGAAAAATGCTCAACCACTGACCTGTACATACTCCAGCCCTTGCTGTATACTACTTAAGACATCAGAAAACTGGGTTTTGTCAGGTTGTATGGGATGAACAGCTATAGACCTGGTCTAACACTGACAGAAGTACCTGGTAAACCAACTACATCCCATCCCCACCTACCCCACTCCTGGCCCACCAGCCCAGGCATCCTCTCAAGAACTCAGGATACTCCCACATTGTAGGCGCCAACATGAGGATGGGGCCAGCCCTGAAGCGGGCTCAGCAACAGGTGAAACCAGCACAGCAACCAGCAGGTAAGACATACATTCTACCACGAAGCTGAAACAAACTACAGAGCGGTATGTGCTGGAGCAGCCTGCAGGGAAGGCAGCAAGAATGGGAGCGGTGTGACGGCAGGACCAAAGGAAAGACGGGACTCAAGGTATCACTGACACTCTGGTTCCAGAAGTTTTTTCTGGAGATTCCTTGAGCTAACAAAAAGATTGTTTTTCTTTTTCTTTGTTGTTGTGTGTGTGCGTTTTAAAGCTATTTCAAGTATGGGTTCTATTTCTCACATGGTAATTTAATAAGCTTAGGAAAAACAGATATTTTACTGGTTCCCAGAAGTGTCCCTACACAGTAAGGACTAAGCTGGGTGGGTGGCACGTATAAACCCGGAGCTGGGCTGGCACACTCAGATTCAAGGTTTAGCCCCTAAGTAAGGCACAAGCAGTTAGCATCCACATCCCCTCTCTCTGACGAGTGAGGGGTGGATGTACGGAATGGATCCCCAGGTGTAGCCTCACCTAGTCCAGACACACTGCTGTGGTTCTCCAGCATCACCTCCCTGTAGAGGGCCCTCTGGCCAGAATCCAGACATTGCCACTCCTCCCGAGAGAAGTGCACAGCCACGTCGCCAAATGTCACCGCCTCCTGAAATCAGGACACACACTAGCACCCCAGAAGTCCTTAGGTGCCAGCTCCAATCTGGGACTACAACATATCTCAGGCAGGTGACCCATAGGATTGGACTAGAGTCACTGGGGTCCTTTCAGCTCTTAAATCATAGGTGGAGAGAAGGGACTTAGTCCATGGTAGTGATCTTAATTCCTCTCCACTGAGCAGGCACAGCTAGGCTCTGGTCTGGGCAGACATTGACTCACTGCCTCAGACACTGAGCCTGGCAAGAGCCACAGGGAGGGCCAAAGCCAGAACTGTGTTCAGGCCCAGTGGAAAGGCAGATCCCCAAAGTAGGAAGTGGAGGCTTGACAGAACCAGTGGGGAATGCAGGCAGCCAGGCTTCCTACCATCAGATTTGGAGGGTGGGATCCACTTGCCTTGACTCAGACACCTGTGAGAAATTATGAAAAGACAAGAGGTCAGGGCGGAGGAGGCTCCCAATTCCCAGAGTAATCCAGGGGTTTCTGCATCCCCGGCTTCTTCACCACCAACCCCAGGCATACAGGGACACCAGACTGGGCAAACACAGCCCTGACATTTGAGTATCAGCCACCGAGCCCCTTGCCTGTGTGGGGCTGCGGGGTTGGATCACTTCACAAAGACATTAAGAATGGTTGCCGGGGGGCCACACATTCAACTAAACCACGGGAGAGGCAACCGTGAATTTGCAAGAAGTTTGCCTTCATGAGACACCTAGAAGAGACAAATAAGACCACAACTGTGATAGTGCTGAAGTAAGGGGACTAGGAACGTGGTTAAATGAGAAGCCCTGGTGAAGTCCGAAATAGTCTTCCCCCAGGGGCCCGGGCCAAAGTGATGGTGGAGCAAAGTGAGCTAGTATGTGAACCAAAGAAAGCAACCGAAGCAGTTAACCGAAAGCAGGAGACGGGGCTTAGGAGAAAGGACTTCAGGGGGAAAACTGAACCCCTGTTCACAAGGATCTAAATTCCAGAATAGGCTACAGCTGCCCTAAGTCATAAGGATTCCAGAAGTACCCCTCAGCTAAACCAAAACAAAGCCCTTAGGCCCCTCCCTAGCCCCACCTCCCCCCACCCCCGGGCGGGGTCAGAACGGGAGGACGCTGGCTTCCTTCGCAGCTTTTGGACAGGTGTCCATGCCATTGGCTTGCCCAAGCAGCAGTGAACACTGGAAAAGCATTCCTCTCTCAGACCCAAGCATTTGGACAGCCAATGGGAAATCGCGGTCCCAGACAGAGGACAAAGCCTGAGGTGCCATCTGAGTCCAAAACCGTGACAACACTTTCAGCCTCTATAACTGACTTTAGGCTTTCAAGGTGTAGAACTGAGGGGGAAGATGGTCCCAGGAAGTGGTTATTCAGGAAACTAGGGAGGCGGCAGGCGGGTCCAGTCCTGGAGGGAAGCCGCCTAACTCAGGCCCAACACTGGAGCTCGGGAGCGGGCTGGAGGGGCTGTGGTGCTCGGCTATTCGACTCGCATCCGCGGGGACCAAGTCCCGAGCCAGGCACTGAAAACAGCCCCGAGCCGCCCACGCTTCTCATCTCTTCTGGGGGCCTCTTGCCCTGAGGACAAGGAACGCAATTGCGCCGACTCACCCAGCCTGGGCGCGTCTGGGACCCGCCAACAGAGCGAGCCGCCGGAAACAGCTTCGCACGCCCATCCCTCTGCGTCCCGCCCTGCATACTTCCGCCCTTTCAGATCCGCTCGCCGGCCAGAGCATCTCGATGGTTCCCCAGCCCCGCCCCCGAGGTTACAAGAGTAGGGGCGGGTCCAGACGCGCGCGCTTGCTCTCTCGCTGTCTGTCCCTCCCTCCCTCCCTGTCTTCCTCTTCTCCCTCTCTCCCTCTCTCCGTCTGTCTCTATGTCCGTAAAGAGCTGGACTAGCGTCTAGGGCAGGTCGATCCTGGTATTTCAGGCTGACCCTGACGAAGCGTAGAAGCGTAGCCAGATGCGCTAGGACCTGAAAGGCTGTGAAGGGGACTCCTCAGTGGAGGTCTCTTGCCAACTGCTCTAGTCTGGAAATCGGGTGCGTTTGACACCGTACTTCAAACTCTCCTCAGCTTGTTGCAAAAAGGAGCCGCACAGAGTGTCTGACCTCCCAGACCACACATCTGAGACTCAGAAGGAGAGCAGAAGTCACTAACAGGATCTGGAGATACACACAAATGCCAACACGAAAATGTGAAAAAGTAAGGTAAAGTCTTACTTCAACTGTCCATCTTTAACCATGGTGACGTAGAGTGAGAACAAGTTGGGCCAGCCCACTAGAGATGTCTACCCCCAAAGCCTTCCTTGGAGTCAGACACCCGAGGCATCTCATGCTTTTTGTAATACTCTTCCTTAGTCTATTTTTCTTCTCTGTCTCTGTCCCTGCTCCTTGACAGGATTTCAACATATAAACCAGGCTAGCCTAAAATTCACTTTGTAGTCCAAACTGGATTTAACTTGCAGTCCTCCTGCCCCTGCCCCCAGGTGCTAGAATCCATGCCAGCGCCTTCTTTATTAGGTAGACATGGAGGTTGAAGCATAATATTCAGGCTGAAGAAGGATGAAAGATCCTGTCTGGCCTCACTGCCCACTTGTCGCGAGCTCTATTCCTGAGCGGGCATTCTGCCCTTACTTCGAGGTCTGCAAGCAAATACTCAGGATGACCACAGTCTTTTGTTCTAGGAACAAGTTTATTATGCCAATAGTCAAATCTCCAATTGTTACTATAGCAGATTTAAGTAAACATCAAAACTATAACAATCATTAGCCAATCAATCACATCACACATTCCACTTCAATCAGCAAGCATTCCTATGCCCTAGGCAAGGCCTTCTACCCTATTTTACTGAGGCATTGTTGTATACGACCTGATGATGGTTCGTGGCTCTCAACGTAGACCTCTGGATCAGCAAGTCTTGATCTGCAGGCAAGAGCTAGTTCTCTGGCTCTTGGAAGGTCTCAGCTGTCAAGTTGCTGGTTCGTTGGATTCTCTATGACTGCTTCTGACAGCGTGTCTAGCAAGTCATTTTGAGAATGTCTTCTGGCCGTGGGCCTCGGGTTTTTATACTGTTTCTAGCTGCCTTACCTCCTTACTTCTAGATTAACATGCATGTCTGCTTATCATATAATTACGTCACACTTGTTCACTCAACTCAAACTTCTTATCATCACTGCACACATTGCTTCATACTTTTTAGTTTCATTTTGTGTGTCACTTAATATTGTTTCTTAACACTCCTGGACTTGTTTGTCCTTACAGACTCATAACACCACTCCAAAGCCTTTACCCAAAATCCCTTAGAGTCCTTGAGCCCCAAAGTCAGAGTTTTGAGGAGAAAGCACCTCTTAACTTCTCAAAAATGCCCGCTCCTAACTCTTCTTGCCCAAACAGTGTTCTTAAACTATAGGAGAGCCTGGGCCTTATCTTCTATTACCTAGGAGAAACTAGCAAAGGGGATTGAGAGGTTGGCAAAACATAAAGGATAACTTTACTGGTGATGAGGGTGTGAGTGTTTCAGGGAGGATAGGATAGAGGGCCTATTGTGTTAGTACTGCTGAGAGAGTGTGAGATGAAAGGAAAGGGGGATTTTAACGATATCTGCAGGCTATTAGGAAGGAGAGAGAGAGAGGTGTGTGTGAGTGTTTGTGCTCATGAGCTGCCCCAATGATTCCTGCTTTGGTCACCTCCTAACTGAAGGCTTTTGGAACCACCTGATCTTTATACTATGTCCAAAGACACAAGACTTCTGTTTCATTGACATTTTATTATGTGTCTACATTCTATTTTTTATTTATGTGTATATGCAGCTGTAAGAGTGTATGCTGCAGAAGCCAAAAGAGAATGTAGGAACCCCTGGATCAGGAGTTACAGACGGTTGTGAGTCACCTGATGTCAGTGTAGGAACCCCTGGATCAGGAGTTACAGACGGTTGTGAGTCACCTGACGTGAATGCTAGTGCCCTCAACAGATCTGCTCTCTTCTGATGTGGGTTGTCCTGTATATGTGTTACTCTTATTGGTTAATGAATAAAGCTGTGTTGACCTATGGAAGGGCAGAATATAGCCAAGCTGGCAGAGATAAATAGAGAGAGTAGACAGAGTCAGAGAGAAGCAATGTAGCTGCTGAAGTAGACAGACGCCCCAGAACTTTTACCAGTAGGCCACAGCCTTTGGTTATACACAGATTAATAGAAATAGGTTAATCTAAGATATAAGAATTAGTTAATAAGAAGTCTGAGCTAATAGACAAAGCAGGGCTATAACTAATATAGTTTCTGTGTGATTATTCAGGTCTAGGTGGCCAGGAAATGAACTAGTAGTCTCTGCTTACATGTAGGACATTTTGTCTTGCCAGAAAAGGAGGCAGGAGCAGACCCCAGAGAAGATCCCAAGCTGCCAAAGATACTCCAAATATGAGGAGACCAGAACTTAACAACAACCTGGAATTTCTCCTGAACAGTAGTGTTGACCCTAGAGTGACAAAGAAACTCATTATGGAATTTGCCTTCAATGTGACAAGGCTAGCAACAGCAAGTTGCATCAACAGCAAGACGTCAGGGTGCGTCAATAGCAATCAAGTTGGAGTTTATTAAGAAAGGATTTCTGGAGCTAGAGAGATGGGTCAGTGGTTAAGAATACCAGCTGCTCTTCCAGATGTCCTTTGTTCAATTCCCAGCACCCACGTGGCAACTCACAACTGTGTGTAGCTCCAGTCCCAGAGGATCAACACCCTTATACAGCTATACATATAGGCAAAACATCAATGTACGTGAAATTTTTTTAAAAAATCATTAAAATTTTTCTTTAAAATCATCAAAATTTTTTTTTTAAAAAAAGACTTCAAGTTGGATGGTGATAATAGTTCCTCCCGTGGTGCCTGGTTTTGGCAGGCTATTCTCAGCCCTAGCATAGAAATTTCTAGAGATATTTTAATGCTTTAGAATCCCTGTTGTAGTAGAGGCCAGGAGATCACTGTGTCAGAACCAGCTCTGCCATGCTATCTTGACTTTTCCAGAGACTACATGTGGGCAAGGAGTAAGGATTACCTGTTTTGAGTTTTGAGAGAGTGGCCTGTGGCTCCTTCAGGCGAAGCAAAACAAACATCAGTGGCCACAACCCCATTTTCAGGGGACTCGGACTTCACAGCTCTCCTTGGTGCTGCCGACTGTAGGCTACCATGCTTCTTGCTACGTTTCTGATCCCTCAGCAGCAGAGCCACAAATGATCTAAACAATTTCCCGTACTTCTGTGGGCCTAGGCACATGGCCGCTTCTAATCATGTCAACCTTGCTCAGCTGTTTGGAGAAGAAACAGCCTGCACCCTTGGCACTCATGATGCAACAAATCATTGGAAATGCAGTAAAGTAACCTGAACATCTGTGGTAGTGACACCTTGAACTAGAATCAGCAACAAGCACATTGCTGTTTAGGGACGGCCTGGCTGCTTGGCATTGGTAACTCTACCAATGGGTGGTACAGCAGTCAGGAGAATGTGTAGCTACAAACACAGGCATTTGTAAAGGAAAAACAACAACAACAAAAAAGGCAAACATGCTACCATCTTCCATATTTTTTATATACTTTTAATCTTTATTCAGACACTCTTCATGTGTTTATACTGTGCCTATGTGTGGCGAGCCCCCTGACCAGCAGGGGAAAAAGACCACTGACACGAGGATCCTTCTCTGATCACGTTTATTGAAGCGCCCTTGGTTGAGGGAGAGCTGGAAGTGAGGGGCCCCGAGCTGGGAGGAGTGGCGGCTTATATGCAGGCTGAAAAGATGTTCCCCCCTAACAGGACACTAGTCAGGCTAGGATTGGTGCAAAGCTGTTGCTGGGCAGACTAAGGCAAAACTCGTGCCAAAACAGACTTGTTTACCACAGTTCTCAGCGCCATCTTGTAATGGCGGATCTCAAACACGTGTGGATCCCCACACCTATGGAATTTCAGGTGTAACTGTGCACAATGGATTCCTACTTAGATGAGTACAAATAACCAAAATAACCATAGCCAAGACAGAATAGAGGGAGATCTGGGTGTGGTGGCGCACGCCTTTAATTCCAGCACTGGGAGGCAGGGCAGGTGGTTTCTCTGTGAGTTTGAACTCAGGTTGGTCTACATAGTTCTACAGCAGCCAGGGCTACACATTGGATCTCTATCTCAAAGGAAATACGTAAATTGATTAAAATGGAGGACAGGAACATTTCTGGGCATGTTTGATATGCATTTTTTATTTTTATTTCTCATTAATAAGGGAGAGCTCAAATGCAGTCCTCGATTACCACTAATTATACAGTCCTGCATTTGGGGACTCGGCAGGGGTCAGCATCTGGAGGATAATGGATAAGCTCTGGGAAAACACCTTCGTGATCATGGTATCTCCCTTGCCAGGTAAGTATATAAGTTCTTTCTTTAAATTTTTTTTTTTCATTTTGCTTCCATGTATGTCTGGGTACCACGTGCACTGAGTATTTTTTGTTTCTATGTATATCTATGCACCATGTGCATGAAGTACCTACAGAGACCAGAAGAGGGCATCAGAGACCCTGGAACTGGAGTCACAAATAGTTTTTTTTTTTTAATTTAATTTTATTTATTTTGACTTTTTGATTTTTCGAGACAGGGTTTCTCTGTAGCTTTAGAGCCTGTCCTGGTCCTCACTCTGTAAGCCAGATTGGCCTTGAAATCACAGAGAACCACCTGTCTCTGCCTCCCTGAATGCTGGGAATAAAGGCATGTGCCACCCCTACCCCTTGTCCGGCATCACAAATGGTTGTGAGTTGCCAAGTGAGTGCTGGGACTTGAACCCTAGTCTTCTGGGAGAACAGTTAGTACTCTTAACTGCTGAGCCATCTTTTAGTCCCAGTTTCCATAAATTCTACCTGGAAAAGAAAAATGAAAAGGAAAGGGAACCTTGAAGGTGCATCGATATTGTAGTTTTTCCCTAAACAGTGCCTGCCATGCTTAGCAGTGAGCACAGGCACAGCTGTAAGGCTTGTGGCTCAGCAGTGCGACACTGTCGCCAGCCTGGGCCCCAAAATCATAATGGATTTTCCTACCCATCTCTATTTATGTCCAGATGCTGCTTGGTAGAAGTAGGTAAAGCTCATTGCCAGTAACCACATGCTTCCAGCTACCAGCCACTCAGTCATCACAGATTCCCAGATGTGCAGGCGCACTGGGCCAGGAGGTGTCCACCAGGCTCCATCTAGTCTGAGGCCATTTGGACCTTGGGAGATAACCTTGGGGTCATTATCCTCTCATTATAATGATGAAAGCCACCCACCGGTTCCCTAGGAGAAATAGGAAATTAGAAAAGGATAAAGGTGGCACCTTGACCCCTGAAAATAGATCTCTTCACAAAGATATGACAGAGTTGGGAAGATGGCTGTGCTTGTGATCACAGAGTTAGGAGGCCGAGAGTTGAGCAGTCCACACCAGTCTGGGCTACACAGCAAAACTGTCTCAAGACAAAACAAAACTCTCAAAATATCTGCTGGGCGGTGGTGGCGCACGCCTTTAATCCCAGCACTCGGGAGGCAGAGGCAGGCGAATCCCTGTGAGTTCGAGGCCAGCCTGGTCTACAAGAGCTACTTCCAGGACAGGCACCAAAAACTACAGAGAAACCCTGTCTCGAAAAATCAAAAAAAAAAAAAAAAAAAAAAAACTCTCAAAATATCAATGATAGCATTCATACCACAATTCCCATAACCCAGTCCTAGTTAAAACTCAGACTCCAAGGTCAGCCTTTCTGGCCCAGGCCTATAATCTTAGCACTGGGCAAGGGACAGAAATAGATCACCACACATTCAAGACCAGCCTGGGCTAGTAAATTCTAGGAAAACATGAGGTAGAGAGTGAGACCCTGTCTTTACAGAGCAGCCGCTGTTATGGGAATCTGTCTGAAATAACTGCTCTGCCACCAATGAGAGCAAAAGAGAAATGTCCCCTGTTGACCAGAGCCAGGACAGCTCATGAGAGGCTTTGGTCCTGAGTCCAGTGTGTACACTCATTTTATACTCTAAAACCACAAGGTGGGGCAGGCAGGTTTTATTTTATTTTATTTTATTTATTTATTTATTTATTTTAAGCAGCAGTGACCCATTACTTCAACTATTTCTTCAGGCCATTCTGTTTCAGGTAGCAAATGATGTCATGTTTGACAAACTGGCAGCACAAACAGTGCTTTAAGTAAATCACTAAATAAATCACCAAATCAGTATGGTCTTTTCTACTTCACCACTACATAAAGATTCAGGCCTTAGATCTGCCCTGGGAGAAGAGGATCCACTCCAACTCTCTGCTCATGACCTTTAAATAAAATAGACTGTCAGCCTCAGGAACTGTTTGATTACTTGCCAGCGGTACTACTGAATAAAAGAACTTGCAAATCCAGAAACAGAATCAAAGGAAGCATTGTAGCCTCGAGGCTGTTCAGAAGACCTAGGCAGAAGAATTGTACAAATTCAAGGCCAGCCAGGGCTTCATAACAAGTCCATTTGAAAAAATGCTTTGTTTCTATGTGGCTTAAATGCCCACAGGTACAATTAAAATTATAGGTACAACTGAGATTACATCAGGACTGATTCTCCAACAATGTCCGCATTAAAAAAAAAATACCGTTGCAATAAATTTGAGGGCTGGAGAGATGACTCAGCAGCTAGAAATACTAGCTGTCTGATTTCCACTGACTCCAGTTTGTGTGCGGTGTGAAAAATTACTTTGGGCAAAAGATAGTCCTTAGTTTGAAACAATCTTTCTTTGTCTCAGCGAACTCTGCCTCCTTTGTTTTACCGAATTCTTTCCTTCTCCCTTATCCTCCCCCCTCTCGTGCTTTTGCTCTTGTTCTGTGTCTCTCTTTGTCTCTGCTTGGGTCTTTGTGTTTCTGTCTCTCTGTCCAGGGTCTCTCTCATAGTCCTGGTTGTCCTGGAACTCATTATGTAGACCAAACTGGTCTCGAACTCACAGAGATCCTTCTGCTTCTGCCTCACAAGTGCTGGGATTAAATTTGGCTTGTGTGGGTTTTTTGAAACAAGGCCTTGCGATATATTTCATGCTGGTCTGGAATTCGTAATCCTCTTGCCTCAGTTTCCCAAGCGCTGGGATTTCAGGCCCGCCACAAACACCCAGCCCAGGCGTTAGTAATTTAATCTGCGCTTTAACTAAGATTTAGTTTATGACAATAAGGAAAAGCAGCGTGGTGCACATCCTACTAATTGAGGGCAGAGAGTGGATTCGGCTAGCACTGGCACAAGAGTGGTGAGCATCCCCACGGCTCTGCCCAGTCCCAGCGTCGGGGCGCCGTGCTCTGAGACCCTAAAGAAGCACCGGAAGTGCGCTGCCACCGTCGCCGCGCGCGCGTGCGCAGCTTAGCTGTTCCGCCCCCAGTCGGCAGTCCGCTTGCCCCTCAGCGCGGGCCGGCCCCGGTGTAGGTGGGTGGCTGGTCCAGAGGGCCCTGGCCGAGGTGCGGCTCCCGCGGTCCTGTCGCTTTGCAGGTGGGCACGGACAGCCGGCAGGCAGGTGCAAGGGCGTCGAGTCGTGGACAGACCACGCCGAGCCGAGGGACTCGGCGGGTCTCGGGCTGGCTGCCTCAGCTTCTGGCCAAGGGCGCTGATGATGCTGCGACACTTGGGAGGAGGGATAGTGGAGGAGGCAGCGGTCCCGGCCAGACGGGCCACCCAGCAACGGGAGGACCGGTGGGAGGGACAAGCCGCTGGCGGCGACGCGGCTTTGGGAGGCATGGATGTGAAGGACGATGGCCTTTAGGTTTTGCCAAGAGCTGACCCTTGCCGCCTGTTTCGTGTCCTCTTACACCCGCAACCCTGTGAGGCCTGCTGCGGTGAGGCCCAGAGCCTTTTCCAGGCTGGCCCTCAAAGGCTGAGGCGGTGCTATGCGCCCATCTTTGGTGTTCTGGTGCATGACCGGAGCTGCCAGCTTGCACCGTGCTTGGGGCAGTTTTCAGTTTGGATAGCAGCACGGGACAGGTCACACGCTGGCTCTCACGGCTTCAGTACACCCCAGAAGGCCACTTCAGAAGCAAGGTCTGTCGTCTTCCTCCGACCGTCTGTCCACTGCCCCAGCTGAATGGGGCTGAGTTTGTCTGTTTTCTCTCCCCGAGTGTAAGTTGGGGAGGCCTCAGGCCGGGGCTGCCTCCTGCCTACCACGGATTCCAAGGTGGTTCACCGGCCAGATGGCTGCCAAGTCCTGCTCCGGGGCTCCGGTGAGTTACTCTTTCTCCCTACTGCCCTGGTTACAAGCCGTCTCCTCTAGAGCTGCGAGGCGAGCCAATAGTGAAGCTGGAAAGGACTAGGATGCAGGGATAGCGCTCTGTGTCCTATCGGCCCTTGCCTGGTCCCCTGCTCGCAGCTCTGCTACCCCATGAGAAATCAAGAAGCCACACCCCTGGTGCACTCTCAGCATATTGTCATTCCAGGGAGAGATGCCTCTGACCTTCCAGGATGTGGCTGTGTACTTCTCCAGGGCAGAAGGGCAGCAGCTGGGCCCCCAGGAGCGGGCACTCTACCGGGATGTGATGTTGGAGAACTATGGGAACGTGGCCTCACTGGGTGAGAAGTGCCCTGGAGCCCTGGCTCACAGTGGGGAGTCTCTAAGGGACATTGGGGCTGATTCAGCCCTTTAATTCCCAAAGGAAAGAGGATCCTGCTCTTGTCCCCAGGGACCAGACTGCCTAGTTCTAGGAACGATTTTCCAATAACCTCACAGTGTCATCCCTTTCCCCGTCTAACAATAAGAGTTCTTAGGCGTTTGAACTCTTTTGCCCGTTGGTCTCCCCTGACCAGTGTGCCCATGCAGGCAGAATGTTCTCTATCTGGTGTGGAGGACACAGCAGGCAGGGTCCTGCTCCACCCCCCACCCCCACCCCATCCCGAGGCTGCAGCAGCTCATCCGGGTTCCTCATCCTTAACAGGATTTCCAGTCCCTAAGCCAGAGCTGATCTCCCAGCTGGAGCAAGAGGAGGAGCTGTGGGTCCTGGATTTTCTGGGACCTGAAGAAGCAGAAGTCTTAAGAAGCTGCCAGACAGGTGAGCATAAGCCAGAGGCTGGTCTCAGGAATGGCCTCACAGAACCCTGGCTTTAGTAGCTGGAGGGAGGGCTAGAAGTGAAGGCAGATTTGGTAATGGTATGCAGTCCGCCCTCTCTAAGGGAAGACAGTGCTTGCATGCATGTGCTTGACAGGTTTCCTTTGCCAGTTCCTTTGCTTTGCCTAAAAAAAAAAGGTGGTGGTGGCACACGCCTTTAATCCCAGCTCTTGGGAAGCAGAGGCAGGCAGATCGGATCTCTGTGAGTTCGAGGCCAGCCTGGTCTACAGAGCTAGTTACAGAGCAGTTACACAGAGAAACCCTGTCTCAAAAAGAAAACACCAAAACCAATATTGTAGTTTCTGGTCCTAATGTGATTTGTTCTTTTACAAACCTTCATGAACTTTTTTGTAGAATATACTTTCTCTTCTCTTACTAGCTGCGGGTTCTGTATCATGCTCCTTTCTCCTTCATCTCTTCCTCAGTGTTGGTCAGCAGTACTTCCTTGTTCTTGAGACTAGGTCTTTTTGTGTTTCTCAAGCATGTCTCAAACACTTGGATCAACACTTTTTTTAAAAAAAATATTTATTTATTATGTACACAATATTCTGTCTGTGTGTATGTCTGCAGGTCAGAAGAAGGCACCA